CAGAAAAAAAATCACAATGTCTTCATTGTCAAAGGATGATTTTGTAAGAAAAAAATTTAAACATCACTTTTGGCAAATTTCTTTTACTTATTTTAGGAAGGTGGTGATATATAAAGTATGACTTTAAAGAAACTTGACATCATAATATAGCGTCTTGAAATTGGTCCTCTGTCTCTTTAAGAAGCTCCTCCTCTTTATGAAACTTTGCCTTCAAGATTTCATCACAACATGGCTCCTCTATTAACCCTTTAACAACATTTTTACCAGCGTTTCACTGAGAAGTAGCTCCTATAATGAGCTCAGTTGATGCACAGCTCCACCATGTGTTTGCTAATTACTGCTGGCTAGTCTGAAGGAGCAGAGTGGAGGAGACACCGGGGAGGACTGTTCACTGAGGCAGAAGTTTGGTATTTTGAAAGCATTTCAAAGGCAGACCTAGGTCAACTCATGCGTTTTGCACAGCTGAATGGTTGCCATGGAGATTAAAGGATTTCTCAAACATGCATGAAAGAATCAAAACAACATACCAGGTATGTTTTTGATGAGGGAATAACAGTACAACGTTATATACCGCTAAACCAAAAGTAAATTCACATATTACTGCATCTTTAAAGGAAACTGGTCTCAATAGGAACTCCAGTTTTACTGATGTCCTGTTTTATACTTATGCTTTTGGGATTACCTCAATCATCCAGACCCCCCCCACCTCCCTTCCCATCAGATGCAACCTGGCGACCTCCCAGTAACCGAGTGACTGCGCTGATGTCAGTCTGTTGCCTTTGAATGTTTTAGAAACACAAGTATGACCCTTGACCTCACGGTCGGCTTCGTTGTCGTAAGCGAGCGGCAAATGGATTTGAATAATTTTTTAAAAAGACGGAAAAAAAAAACAGAACACATGAAGGGAGCTGTCCATGGTGCTGAAATGAGAGCACCGCTTGTGGCCTGGTGCGTTACTATGGCTACAGCTGTCTGTATCCCTAAAATAACCACACACACACATATGCGCACACACGCACAAATGCAGTAACCTTATTACACAAAGAGAGAGGAAAACTAACAATCTGTTTCTGACAGCATGGCAATCAGACAAAGATGGAGGAATATCTGTTTTGTTGCTTCGATTCCTTCAGGGAAGCAGCAGGAGGAGACGAGGCGTCTCTAAACACTCAGCAACAAGTCTTCTACTGATGTTTGCCTCTACTGTACATACAGTAAAACCTCAACCAGGAAGTTCGTGGAAGCATTGAACAATTCCACATTTCACAACATCAGAACTGATAACTTTCAAGTATGTATTCACTGTGTTTCATCATGTGGATGTGCAGAGTTAATTTACCCTCAGTTTATCCTCCACTTATACTTTTCTGAGTTTTGATCTGCTCTACACGTGTTCCTACACGGTTTGTGGCTAATTGTAAACGCCCATATAATTGTGAAATTTGAAATTTAGAAAATAAATTTGCTTAATAGAAACACGCTAATTTAAAAAAAATATAGTTTTTTTCAATAGTAAGAATTGGATGAGGTGGTTTTTCGGCCGTATCGAAATTGATTTATTTTACAAAACTGCAACGGAAACACTTTTTTCCACGTCACACTAGTCACGTGACCAACAACCGGATGTTGCCGGTGGCAACTTGCCACTGGCTCAAACCACGAAGAAGAAGACGTCAGGAAGTATTAGGAGAATGATGGCGCTGCATGTTTTTAAAATGACTTATTGCGTGAACAAACTTATTCACATGTAATTTTAATTTAATTACGTTGCTTATTTAATTGAAACACCATAATTGCGAAATTGTATTTTTTTCTGAAATTAGCGGAATATCGAAAAAGTTTTGCGCACATTTGTAATGAAAACGCAGGGGAACTATTTCCTGCTTTATAAGTCCAAAGGGTGGAAATACTTCTCCGAGACGGCGTGGATCTCATGGTTTTTTTCTTCTTCTAGTTATTCAAGGAAAAACGGAGAAGTGGGCTTTTCCTTTTCATTGTGCTTTTAGACTGGCTTTGTCACTGACTGACGCACGTAACAATTTGCTCAGTGGGAAGCGAAGCTTTCATCCAGCCACTTAGCATATCTGTAGCACCGAGGAACACTTAGCATCAGCTGGAAATGAAGCCGGGGGAACACGAGGGCTGCCCCCACGTCTCTGCAGCAAAGCTCCGCTTCATCTGCTGATCACAGATGCTATGGTTTGCCCTTTTAGGGCTACATGTTTGCACACTTAAGTCACTTAAAGTCTTAGTTTGATATTTATGCGTTTTTCTTAATCATTCGGTAGATTTTTATGTTTATTTCTGTCACCAGTTGAGTGGTTTGCAGTCTACTTGGATGTGAAAAACTCACCCTCTGAAATATTTCAAAATGTATTGTTATTGAAAAATAAATGAGTTAAAATAAAATATTTTCCTTCTTTCTTTCTTTGTTTGTTTGTTTCTTTCTTTCTTTCTTTCTTTAAATTTAACTGATTTAATAATGTAAATATCACCATATTTAAGTTTATATTGTATATATTTGCTACCTGCATCATGTCCCAGATTCTCACCAGAACCTTACAGTTATGTACGACTGCTCACTTTCTGAATAAAATGTCTTGCAGAGCCGTGGTCCAACGGTGCTGGGTTCAGCCGGGTGTCCACTGCGCTCAGCGAGTCCTCGTCCATCCACAGCGACGCCCCAGGCCTCCTGACCCGGGACTTCCCCGGCGCCGGGCTGAGGCCCATGCCCTGCAGCGTCCTGGAGCCTCAGAGCCACCAGGAGGAGGCCGAGGCTGAGGAGGCTCAGAGTTTACTACAGGTAACGGCAGCCTGGAGCTGAAACTGTTACTGTTCACACCAGCTGAGTTTATACTTTCACCGTATAGTTGCACAATTTGACATTTTGAAAATAAATTCACTTAATGCAATATGCTAATTGACAAAAACAAACAAACTTGCTTTTCAATAAAAAGTTTTGCTGCTTGGATGAGGTGTTTTTTTTCTTCTTTCTTTTTTGGTCGCATCAAAATTGGTTTATTTCACAAAACTGTTATTGAAACATTTTTCGCATCATGAGTCACGTGATCATCATCCCTCTCCCACACCTACGGGGTCAACGACTTCATGGCGTTTTGCCCCCGGGACGCCAAACAAATTTATTGATGTGTGATTTTAATTGCGTGTCTTATTTAATGGAAACACTGCAATTGCAAAAAATGATCTTTTTTCGATTTTAGTGGACTACTGACAAAGTTTTGTGCACATATGTAATGGAAAACGCAGCTACTGTTTGGTAGGTCATGCAAAAATATGAGAGCCCTCTTAAACTGAGCTAATGATGAAATATTTCCTGTGTTTGCAATGGCTTTCATTTCATTGCAACATTTAATGAGATGGCGAGAGATGTCTCATTAGAAACACTGGAGATATCACTGTGATAATGATGGAGGCATGCTTTTTTGGTGCTTATGCTCTGGACCTATCTGAAAAAGTCTACTTGAAAATAAAGCAGGTCTTATATGAAACAGAATGAAGTTGATGCGAGATTTAAGCGAGCTCACAGTGAAGGCTGATATTAGGTAATGTGACGAGTTTGTTTAGAATGTTGGAAATTAATTTATATTAATGAGGCTGTTTTGTTTCTGCAGTACAAATTAAATCTGCAGAACACAGGGAAGTGGTTATTTCTGTTTTGAATATTCATTAGTGTGGGCGGTTATATTACTTCATGAATTAAATCATTATTTGAAAATTCCTCTTATATAAATTATCTGTGCCTGATTAAAAAATAATAATTGTTTGGTAATCTGAAATATTTAAGTACGACAAGATAAAAACAAGAATAATTTCCTATTTTTTATTTTTATTTTTTTGCTTTTTCATATCCCAGCATCGACACTGAAATGTTGCAAGCTTCTACAGGAAGTGAGTTGAAGCAGTTTTAACCTCAATGAACTCTAGTTTCTAACTAGTTTTTTTTTTTGTATTGATCTTCTAGAAATACCCTGAAATTAAAAACAATAACACTACTGAACCTGAATTTCTGCTTGTTTTTGTTGTTTCTATACAAGAAACAACAAAAACTACAACACAGGCAGCTGCTACAGAAGATTAAAAAAGAGGAAAAATAGCAGTTAAAGTTTAAACCTCCCTGACTCCTTGCTGGAAAAGCTGGTTTTTACAAGATAGTTATGTATATTTTGTTTTATGATGGAATTATTCTAGTATTGAAGTGCTGACATTAGAACAATGCACCCGAAAATGAATTTCAGCTCAGTTTTTGCCATTAGCGCTGTAACACAGCCAGCTGCTGCAGAAGATTAGAAAAGAGGAAAAATGGCAGGTAAATCCTCAGTGACTAGTTCTCCAACATAGTCTTGTATTTTTGTATTTCAGTTCGATATTTTAGTGAAACCCTGAAATAATAATAATAATAAAAAAAACACTAACACTGTTATTCAAGCTAGTATTAGCGCTATGGCAGACCTATCTGCTACAGATGAGAGAAGAACAAAAGTCGCAGTTAAAACATCCATAAACTTGCTTCAAAAGCATTGAATACTTCTGCGAATCACTGTTTCATTTAATGAATGATTGGAATGACTATAATTGGGGATTTGCATAGTTTAAAAGCATTTAAAGTGTTGACATTTTTCCTCTTTAGTGAGTTTTACTGGGAAAACAGGAGGATCAGCCAATTACATCGCAGAGCGGCGAAAGGAGGCATGTCTACACACTGCAAAAAACAATCCACCTCTTTTTTTTATTTAAACCAGGCAGGAGAAAGTGTTAGTTATATGAAAGTTTCTCCTCCTAGTTGTGTTTTTTTCATTGTAAAAAACAAAAAAATCAAATTGCGTTTGGATTAATTTTTTTCACCAACGCTAAAGCGACTCGGCAGTTTGAGATGAGTTGGTGCTTTTTTTTTTTTTTTTTTTTTTGCAGTGTGTGAGCGCCGTCGGTGCTCAAGGCAGCCTCCACATCACCCAGTTGAGTAGAAGAGTGCGGAGCAGCATGAGATCAGGCTCACAGCACCTGACGCATCCCTCTTAAAGCCCAAAGCGATGAGAGCCGGAGCGCAGGGGCCGGGGCTCCTGCTGCAGGACGGGGGACAAACCGGGCCGAGCTCCGGTGTTTAACGGGGCGGGGGGCGATGGGGAAACCGGCGGGGGAGATGAATTCTGCTGCGTTTTACTGCAAAACCCGGCAACTTTCAATCCCGGTCTGCTTCTTCTTCTTCTTGTTCCTCTTCTTCTTCTCTTCTTTCTCCCACTCTGTGTGCATTTGAAGAAGCGCAACAGCATGCAGGTCTCCCCGAGCGAGGACAAGATCCCGGTAAGTAGCGGGGGTCTCCCCCATCCACCGACCCACTCCTCCGCTTCCTGTTTGAGCTGCTTTTATTGGAGTTAAAAAACAAAAAAACACCCGCAGCTGTACTTTTAATCTATCTGTTTTCACTTCTGGTCACCTTCTGATAGACTTATGTTAGTTTCCCTTTAAACAGTCTTTTTCACATTGTAGTTCGTGGTTGTGGTTTTAGCGCTGTGAATCGGTCCCCTCCGCCTCCAAACAAATACTAATTAGCCTCGTAAATCCTAAATAACTAGCAAAAACTCCATTAATGTATTTATTAACGTGGGTGTAAATTAAATAGGAACATTGACTGGAACTAAGAGTAAGGATAAAAACATGCTCTGATCCAGGATTTTTGGGTTCCTGTCAAAGACAAAAAATAAAAAAAATCTGTAGAAATAGAAATTTCTGCTGATAATGCAAATTTTCAATCTCGAACGTCTTTACGTAGATATTTCTTAGATGTATTTATTTATGTTTATGTATTGTCACCTCGTCATTTTTTTTGTCGAAAGTGATTTTTTTCTCTAAAACGTCTTTTGTTAAGAAAGGTGGAGATTTTTTTTAATCACTTCTGGCAATATAAGTCTTAGGCTACTATTTTACGTAGGTGACGATATTTTTATTATTTATTATGTTGCTCCAATTGCTGTTGCATTTATATTCGCAAGCAGAACCAGAGGTGGTTCTAGACCGAATTCACGAGGGGGCCAGTATGGAGGGGGGGGGGCAGTGTTTTTTTTTGTTTTTGTTTGTTTGTTTGTTTGTTTTACAAAACAAAATAATAAAACAAAAAAAGGGATAAAATTTCATCGTTTACTTTTAAGAGAGCCAAGGAGCCACTTGTGGCTCTGGAGTTGATTTAATTTTTTTTGTTAAAATTGTATCTTTCTCTGTATTTTCTAGACTATACACATTCTTGTGTTTGGTCAAAGTCTTCCAAAAGGTTCCAAACTTTCCCAAATTATTTATGCTACATGGCAGACGAGAGGTTAAAGCTAAAAATAAATAAAATAACTTTTATTAAACCCGTATCACCAAAATCTGATGCAAGAATGATGTCAGTTTCATGCTCAGCGCTAATATGGATGGGGATGCTTTTTACTTTCCTCGCTTTCCTTTGTTCCTGTTTTATATTCATGAAAATACTAACCAACAATCCCATGGTTACTATAGACCATTTACGACGTAATAAAACAAAGTTCTGCTGAGGATCATTATGGGGACCTTTGGGGAGCCCCCGGGGGACCCATCTCCAAATCCCCCTGAGAGCTCCTTAAGCTTTGGCTAAGACAAACATCTGTGCCTCATAAACTTTCTTGGTAATGGCTCAGTCCTAGCGGGACTCTTCTCAGAAGTCTGCTTTACATATTTCCAAAAAAAGGGAACAGAAGCATCAAACAAACATAAGACCTCAGGGAACGTTTCAGGAGCTCAATTATGGTGGCAGCATGCATCCTGCAGAAGTGGCAGTTTCCGGCTCAGTGGTCAGAGCTCATTAACATACATACATACATATATATATATATATATATATATATATATATATATATATATATATATATATATTTTTTTTTTTTTTAAATGCATTGCATTTAAATTTGAAATCTGAACTTCTTGGCTGCCGAGTGGAGTGCCCAACTTTAGATCCAACTGTATGTGGGTGACATTTATTTTTATCCAGATCAAAAATGTGCAGGGACCATCTTTAATTCTTACATTTTACTGTAAATCTAGTTTCTTTAACTTATAGCTCAAAGAGCTCGGCATAAAATCATATTTCCAGTTACTTGGTCATTAGAATATTAAGAATTTACCTTCTTTTAAATTGTTCTACTGAACTTTTTTATAACAAATAAACTCGCTTACATTTTCTTTCTATCAGCTACCTCAACTGTTTACATGAACAAGTTTGAATTAGGAGTTTATAATCCATCGGATGCTCACACACTGTTTCACAGCTTCTCACATTTATTTGTGTTTAAAATTTAGTAAAACATCAATTCCTCCTCACAAGATTTTACATCAACTTTTTTCCTTTTTGATCAGACAACACGGTACGATGGGATATTTGCAATGTCTCTTTAATAATTTCAAATGAATGAATAAAAAATTAAGACTTAATAAGTCACTAAATTTTTCTGAAGTGGTTACAAATTTTACGTTACGGGAAAGTGTCCAAAATTGGTAATTGTGTGTTTTTTAACTTTCTTTTTTATTGTTCAAATGATTTATTTTCATGAGTATCTGTTGACATTATTTGGATGTAAAGCCAAACATCAGTTATAGGAACTCAGAGCTGAAGTTCAATAAAATAGGAATGCTGTATTTTATTGGATATAGCAATAATGTTGCTATCTGTAGCACTCTAACAGTTAAATTAAGTTAACTTTTTTAATCTCATTGTATGTGAGAGTAGTGAAAACAAATAAAGAAATTCAACTTAAGCCAAATTTCTGCTTTTCGTGCTTTTATTTCTGTACAAGCTAGCATTAGCATTGCAGCACATGTAGCTGTTATGGACAGTTCCAAACTCCCATGAGCCATTGCTTCAAAAATGTATGAGATTGTAAATGTTACGTTGGTTTAAAGATTTACAAAATATTGCAAAATATTGTTAGGATACACTCTTCTAACATTCTGGAAATTGGAGCTTTATTTTAATCTCGCACAAATCTCGCTTAGACAGTTAGCTGTTAGCTCTAGCTAACATTTACACATACTTTTTATGTGTGTAAAAGTGTGTAGAAAGTGTGTAGATTTTAACACACACACACACACACACACACACACACACACAAAAAGCTAACATCAGTGTAGGTACAATTTTGGTTGCTCACAACATTTTTTCAGAACTCCACACCTAAAAAGAAACAAAATCATCAATTTCATTTCATTTCTTTTTTTTTTTTTTTTGTCAAATAAAAACAGGAAGCTCAGGTAACCTAACCTCATCCCTGGAGACCCAGTAGGCAAACTGAAAAAATACATCTGCACTTTCAAGAATGTATTAAATTCAGTGTCCATATCTATGTAACCCATTTGGAACAAAAATAATAATTTCAATCAATAGGGTTTTTAAATTTTCCTTTATTAATCATTCCACAGTCCAGCAAACCAGTGATGTATTCCTCTACAATCCTGTGACTAAGTCAAAATCCTTAAATCAGGCTGGTGTCTGTACATCTTTACCTCTTGCTGCTTCCACGTTTAGTCTCTCTCTATACTTCCCCCTGTCTAAATAAAGACTAAAACAGGCAAAGGTGAGCTAACTGCCCACTCTGCTGCTGAAGGTTCTCACTTCATTGTTTTTGAGGATCTGCCAAAAGCCACTTGTGTCTGCCTGTGCTGACACAGCATCAAATGTTTAAGTTTGTTCAGCTATTACATAACTCCCCTGAAGCCTAAAGGTTTGGTTTTTCTATTTTTGAACAATTTGTGTTTGACTTGTGCGCCTCATTACGACTGCATCCTGATGGAATGGTAGTTTGGGACTGGCTTTACTGAGGCCCTGATGCATCTTTTCACAGGTTGTAGATGCACCTTCAAGCCCTCAAGCCAGCAGCGAAGATCTGTACTTCTGCGATGGCCTGCGGAAAGTGGACTACGTTCTGGTTTTTCATCACCGGCGGCACGGCTCCCTGCGATGCACCGGCACCGCCTCGGTTTCGCAGGATCAGCTGTCCATCGTCTCAAACGGCAACTTCCCTCCAACGTCGGGCTCCTCCGATGCAGCGGCCAGACAAGGAGCCGGCCTCCGCAGGGAGGAGGCAGCGAGCGTTGGGGAGGTGTTCATGGAGCTCGGAATGGCAAGGGGCAGCGAGCCGATGGAGGCCGCCGACCACGAGATGCACCTGATCAGACAAGAGTTTGAGGCCAACCTCCTGGAGGCGGGTCTGGAAGTGGAGAGAGACAGAGAGGTCGGTGTCCTGCTAATGTCTGGTTTTGGCTTTTGAGTTTCTCTTGGAAAGATTCTTGCGCTTCTGTCCCTTCCTGTGTTATTGCTGTGTTGACACTCCTGTCTTGCATCTGAAACTGTTTCTAGGTTGGCAACCAAACTGTGTTCTATTTGACGTAACCTAAATTTATTCCTACAGAATGTGTTTTCCAAAACAGTTGGATGACTCAACATTGGGTAATTACATTGACATTAGTTCAGCCTCCCTCTAGTTACAATAGTAATGGATTAACTCCTGGATTAGGGACCAGCGGACCGCACCATCCATGATGTGCAACACCATGCATGGTATGGTCCTGTGCTTTCCAGGTCTTGTTGGAAACTGTTGCCAATGAGAACTTTATAGAACCTCACCAACCAATCCTGTCCTGTGATTAGAGCAACAGTCTTTCTGCCACATCGGTTCTTGAAGCCTGAACCCAGATGTTTTTTTATTTTTTTGCGTCACATTCATCCATTTGCAAAGTTTAGTCAGATCATGCTGATTACAAAATGTGCTAAAGACATTATTTTTGGGTCATATTTAGAAGTTTTTTGTCTACTAAAGCAGTCTTAGGTCAAAGGTTTCAACCAAATACGGGTAAAGACATATCTTGACCATACATGATGTCGGTCTGATGAATGTCTCTCTTGCTAATCGCTCTGAGCTGGGTTTATGTCTGAAGGGTTTCTTGCATCTGCAGTCAGTTTCCTGTCACGTGATAGAAGCTCTATTGAAGATCAACCTGTGCAGTGTGTGTCTGATCGTAGAGGCTTTCCAGAGACCGCTGTGGGTTCTGTAATGACAGTTTAGAGAGCTAATGACTTCCTTTACCATTTTGCAATCTGGTTTCATGGTGAAGTTGCTTGGATAGATGGATCTGGGCATGTTTGTAGTTGTTTTGAATGTCTTTCACTTGACCTCTTTGGATCTCATTAATGGTGTTCACTCTCACTTGGGTGCTCTAACATTTTTCACATGAGTGTAAATTGCTTTTAATGCGATGAAATCTGGGCTGAAATGTGATGATACGAGGCAGATTGTAATTTCAGCCAACACAGCTGCTATTCGGACCTCATAGTGTCGATTAACTTACTCAGACCTGAAACAGGTAATCTTATTTTGACAAGATCGCCTTCTCTGTGGTCCATTTTGTGTGTCTCTGTGCCCTAACTTAGAACAAAGGGTAAATAACACAAACACACTTCTTGTGAAGGTTGAGTGTAATTGGACCACCTCTGCACTCAAAAGTGAGTCATATAGAAAAATGAAGAATAACTCCCTTAGCATTAGCATTTCATACCTGTGCTGCCAAACAAATATAGGTGTGTGCATGTCTAGAAGTATGCCGGTGCTGGCCAGCAGCCAGTTGGTAGTGTGTGTACTCCCCAGGGTTGTATTAATCAGACTGTTGACATGGCTGCTATGGAACCAAAGCCAGTAGAAGATAAGCTCACTGACTAATGGCTCCTTATCTCATCTCATGGATTGAGGTTTAGATTAGGTCTGTTATTCACAGTAAAGGAATACTTTCATTCTAATATGTCTTTCATTTGCATATGAGAAAGGTAGTATTACAAAATTAGTTTCATGTTTATTTATTGGTGTTCTTGCTGCTTATACTTTCTGGATGCTCTGTAAACAACCTTGTGAGTAGGACTATGCCAGCGATTAATTGTTTTAAATGTTCCTCTTTCTCCGATTTTAATTACCCAATATTTGAGCCAACACAGATAGAATGGCTTTGTTCACTTTCTCCGCTGATATTGCCAAACTACAACCTTATAGAGGAAGACAATTCTAAAACCAAGGTAAAAAAAATCAATGTCATCGTTCACGATTTCTCTTTCTGCTTGCTGATTGGTTCGGTTGAAGTTCAATTGGAGAAATTCAGCTCAGTGGGAGAAATCCTATCGAAAGGGAATAAAAATCAAGTAAATTTGCATCGGATGGCAATGACTAGGTTAGCTGATGGCGCTAACTGCTGTAGTTTCACTTGCACCTCTCTGCTTTTGATTTGCCTTTTCACATCCCCTATCAGCCTACTCACTGTGTTTTATAGACAGGTGTAGTTCTGTCCTCCTCCAGCCATGTCTGAAGTCTTGCTATGACTGCAAATATGAGCAAATTGAGGTTATTAGTAATGCTAGGCAATCTTGTCTTCCCAATTTTCGAGAGAGCTTAAAATAAATGGGTCTCTGTGTCACGTCATATTTGTCCTCCAGGGAAACAAGAAGTGATTAAAAAAAAAACATTTGCGTTCCATTTATTTTACTGGACTTTTGAAAGCGTCTACTTTTTAAAGAACCTTCCCTACTCTATTAAATTAAAGTTTGTATTTCTCTTAAGTTTTGGTATTCCTACTGATATTAATTCAAATTTTATGTAAAGGCTTTTTAGACATCTTTATTAGGGAGTGTGTCAATAAATGTGGAGGGTGCTTCACTATTGCATTAATATATCTTGCTCCTGTCCTCTCAGATATAATTAGTGGAAACCAACAAACAAATAGTAAATATATTTACATCACACAGAGCATTAGCTGCTGCCTGCTTAGCTTATGTTTGGATTAGATGGATTTTAATAACCATTTTAGTTTCGTGGGATTAAGGTTAATCATAAAGCTGGGTTACAGCTGTGTGTGAGTGTAGAATCGGATTAACAGAAAAACAAGGAATTTGAAATATCAGCTGCACTTTAATTGAATGTCTATGGCTGAAGTTGAGGTTAATAAATTAATAAATTAGAAATATTACAAAAAGAAAGAAGTCTTTCTTTGTAGCAGAGGTGTAAATAGACATCCGCCTCCCAAGGCAGAAAAATACACAATATTATTGAATAGTCTAGATTGTTTTAAAAATTCAACAGGAAGCTCCAAAGATAATGCTAAGTTTAACAACATTAGCAGCTAGTGGTTAGCGGGCAGGATTGTCTCATTCCTAACAAAACAAATTCATTTTATCTGGCATTCTGGTATTTTTTTTTTCTATCTAGTAACCAAAATGTTACCAGTTAAAGCACCTAAAAGAGACTTTCTTAATCCTGATGTAACCTAAAAGTGTTAGCCATCTTGAAGCTGGTGGCTAGCGCCTTTAGCAGCTACTGGCTGGTGGGTCAGGATTGTCTCATTCCTAACAAAGCAATTTTTTTTTTTTGATAATTAACTCAAAAAGCTTAGCTTAGTAACACACCATGAAACATTTTAGCTGCATTTAGTCGCGTCTACTAACTTCTACTTCTACTAGTTTGTGAAAGATAAACCTACAGTAGTAAATTGTCAACTTTATATTAATTTGGTCATATCTCCAGGAAGTGAGTAAATGATGGAAGAACAGAATAAGGTTAATTTTTCAGATTATTAATGATAACATAACATAAGAGAAAAAAAGCTGACCAAGTAATCTCAGTGTTTGTTTACTTGCCTGCGTTATTATTTGTTTAAACGAAACAAGTCGGCTTATCGGTTGTGTAGCGTGTTTCACTTCGGATTAATACGGATACTGAAAAACCAGCCGGCACCACTTGTTGACAGAACCTGTGGATTAACACGATGACCCCTGCTCTCCCAGGAGCGTCCTCCTACAGATGAAAGTTAATTAAATAATTAAGAAGTGGAGCTTGGACTTTAATTGAATGCTTATGGCTCAAATTGAGGTTAATATGTCCAATCTATTGGGACTAGAAAAAGAAAAAGTAAGGAGGAAACGTTTGCTGGAACTGATAGTTCATAAAAATGTTCTAGTCAAGTGGGACTGTATATAACTAATAATAGCTAATAAATGATGTCTAATCTTAGGTTCTTTTGTTTGTGTAAAGAACGTGATTTGATTACCCTTAAAAACTGTGACTGTTTTTGTGATTAAAAGGATAAAAATAATGCATTTTATAGCAAACAAAAAATTATATTGGATGTTCAGCCGGTTCTTGGTGCCATAAGTGAACATTTTCCGATTATTTTAGTTCGGATGTTTCTATATATTTCACTATGAGATTATGTTATTGAAATAAAATCTAGGTTTATTTTCAATGCTTTTTATGCACCTTTTCCAGGGATAATGATAAATGTGGGAGGGAAAGTTTGAGGAAAGTACTATGTATTTTCCAGGGACATAGTGCCATTTTATAGCACAATCAAGCAACTATTTTAACTTCAGTTGTTATAAAAATACTCTGTATATCAAACATGATAAAAGAATTTTGACTTTGTAATTGAACACCTTGAAATTGGGCCTCTGTCTCTTTAAGAAGCTCCTGTTCTTTCTGAAACTCCACCTTCAGGAAGTCATCACGACATGGCTCCTCCAATGAGAGAGTGATGAGGGGAGAAAAAAAAAGCAAAATTTAAAAGTGAAATTAATAAACTGATTAACCAGGTGCTAATCTTTCCCAAAGTAGATCAACACAAATCAAAATAAAAACATTTCTATATTTAATCATAGGAAGTACATAAATACATCACCTCCTAGTCAGGAGAGTGAATCCTACACAGTACGCAATATTTTCCAAGTAACATAATATATGCATGCACTTCCTCCATTTTGCTTATAGAGACCAGTTATAAGGCACTAAACATAAAATCAAACATTTTCTCCAGCTCCTCAGTAGCACAGCTGTTGTTGTTACATGCAGGCAGGTAGAGTGCGTCACCTCGGCATGCTGATTGTTTGTTTTTATTTAATATGAACAAGAGAATTCGGTGAAAGTGTAAAGAGATGATTGGAATGGACGTAATCATGATGAGATGCTTTAGTCACAAAACTACTGCTTTACAGAACAACACAGTCCTTCTTAACCACAATGCAAGGGTGTAAATTTATTCAGAAAATGGTGTTATGCAACACCTGAACTAGGAGCTCAGCTCACTAATCTTCAGTCTGGATATTTAAGGACAGTACTGTTGCTGTGGTTGGCCTTAACTGACCCAGGTTGGAACAGTAAAGCAAGCAAACATGAACGCCTGATTAACCCTGGCCTGTCTGGATCGTTTCCAGGCTTACTTTAAAGCTGCAGTATATAACTTTTACAAAAAATATGTTTTTTTTTCCATATTTAAACTGTCAACATGTGACGACAGTTTGGTATGAGACAGATAATCTGTGAAAAAAATCCATCTTGTCCACCTTCTCCCTGAGCTGCTCTTACTATTTGAAGAAAAGCAGCGTTCCTGACCCAAAACAACCAGTCAAAGCCAGGAGGAGGGGCTTAGTGTTGTCAATCAACGTCCTGTACGATGTGCAATGTGCTAATGGCAAAGAAACAACTTACCATTACTGGAAAATTGTATCAGTGGCCTTTTAACTGGCTTTAGCTTTGGTGGCAAACTATGTTGTGGTGAACCAGCGGTAGCTTAGCAGAGAGCAAAAGTGAGGGTTGAGCATAAGAGTGATTGGCAACGCTAAGATCCTCCTCCTGGCTGTGACTGATGTATTTCTGTAGTTAGTATTGAGAGAAGGCAGAGGAGCTCTTTTTTCACAGATCATTTGTCTTTAATTGTACTGTCACAACATAATTATCATTTTAACAAAATACTATATATATAAAAATATATATTTTTTAAAATAAAAGTTACATATTGCAGCTTTATTGTCATATGTTTTTAAGTCCTGTTTGTTACATTCAGTGAAAAATTAAATGATATTTGATTTGACAGAGGCCCACCATGAAATTGGGCCTCTATCTCTTTAAGAAGCTTCACCCTTTCCGACACTCCTGTCATCATGTCATTACCAACCATACTTCTCCATGATGCCGTTTAGCAGCTCAGAAGTCATGCAATTCCACTAGGTGTTTGCTAATTGCTGCTGCCGCTAGTCTGGAGGAGCTTTGGGTAAATATGTGGCACTTTGCTTGAGCAAGTGTTCAGGCTTTCCTGAATGGTTGCCACAGGAAAATCATTGATTTCTTAAGCATACATGAAACATTCAAGGCAACACTACAGGTATGTTTTTAATGAGGAAATACAATTATAACATGATATTAAGCTTAAAAAAATCTATTTTCTATAATACCGCCCCTTTAAGAGTTATGGTTCCAACATCAGATCACTGGGATATACATTGTTTACTGACCCAGTGCCAGTTTACCCAAGGGTCCACAAGTTTCAGGATGAACATTAAAGCCATAGTACTTGAGGCAGTTACCAAAGCATCCCACAGTAAATCAAAACAGTAACTCCACAGGTGTAGCCAATGCCCTGCATTGGCTACAGCACTGGAAGATTATGCCTTACAAATGACCCAACACTGTACACCGCCAATGCAGGGCAGTTGCACAAAATGCTATTTAAGAACAACATCCAAAATCACATCGTACAACATCCAACCCAGTCTCCTCACACACACACATACACACACACGCACACACACACACACACACACACACACACACACACACAGAAGCTGATCACCTTGTCATACTCAATAAAAACACTTCCACACCCCTGGCTGCGGCCTAGTTACCCCCCCCCCCACAGAGATGAAGAGATAATTGGAAATCATGACGCTAATTAACCTTCTCCAGGGTAAGGGTATTTATATCCTCCCCTTTTTGACGGAGCGACCAAGAAAAAAGAAAACGATGGTGAGCGGCGGCGCAGAGCCGGGGCGGACGAGATGAAAGCTGATTAGCCAGGTGGTAAGAAATAATGGGAGAAAATAGTTAGGAAATGGGAAGAAGGAACCAAGTTAAGGAACATCAATAATTAATTTCCCATTGCCTAATTTTCAGATTTAAAAGAGGGACGAGCAAATGAGTCCGTTCCCGACTAGAGGTTCAGACTCTATAAATGTACAGTGGTACCAGTTTGTTAAACTGAAGCTGCAAGTCTTTTTGTAAGGAGTAAAATAATTTCATTTATATATTGATTTGTGTTGGCTGACTAAAGAGTTTTTAAACTTGACCATATTCACATATGGTCAAGAGTTCTAGAGTTCACATACAACTCTAGAATTGGGTCCAGATCAATAGTTTCTTTAAGTAGTTGGTTCTGTTGAGAATTTGGATTTATTGTGAAAACCATTAACTGTAATTAAAGATGTTTTGCAAACAAGCATGGACCTTAACATATAGTCTCCTTTCAGTCTGACTGAGATTGAGAAACTTTGCAATAAAGGACAAAGATCTCAGTGTCTAGATGTGCCAAACAGGTAGAGACATATTCCAGATAACTGGGAGCCTAACTGCAGTGAAATATACTTCAGCCCAAAAGGACAAAAAGAAAAAATTAAAAAGCCACAACAGCAAAAGCCACATTGGAAGCTATGCTAAAGGGGTTGTTGTAATAAGATGAAAGTTATGCTAAAACAGAGGTTATGCTAAAATGGGTGGAATGCTAATACGGAAGTTATGCTAATACAGAAGTTATGCTAAAATAGAGGTTATGATATAATGGAGGTAATATGAAAGCTATGCTAGTAATAGCTATGCTAAAATGGAGGTTATGCTATGCTTAAGAGGAAGTTAGCATAGGTTCTGCTTGCAAGCCTTTTTATATGTTCCATAAATTCTATTTTTGTTTAGATTTTGCTGTTGTGTTGATGCTTTAGCATGTTGATGACCTGTCTGGGCCACCGTAGAAATGTGTTTTGAATTGGGGGGGCTTTTGAGGGAGTGGTTGGACGGTTGTAATACAAGAAATGTTAAAAACCACGTTTCTGTTTCCTTCCATCTTACATTGAGTTGGACTAAAACATTGAACAAAATTTTGCTTGTGACATTTTGTTTTTAGTCAAAACTCTTGAATCAATCCAAGAAAAAAAAGTGTCAAATCAAACTTTATTCCAAAAAACAACTTCACTCCAGAAGTTTCTTCCCTTTGGTCATCCTCAAACTCTTGTCCAACTTTCACAACATTGGTCTCAGTTGTGTTTTGTGTGGTGGTGAAGAACAGGCACTTGCACAAAATGTACCTTTCTTTCAGTTCTAGCTTTGGCAGGAGGCAGAAATTGGTTGCTACTGGTTACAGATTGGTTAGAGCACAATAACACACTTCTCAAAATAGCAAAGTGCAGGCATCAACGCAAATAGCAGACTCCGAGCATTCACAAAATAACGGTTTTTAGTTTGATCTGTGGTCTCCGTCCGCCATAGATCAGGGTTTCTGTGCTTTTAGAGGCCTGAGAGATTCCTTATACGGAAATGATCCATACATGTGATTTTATTTGAAGGGAGAGCAAAGTGACCTGGCTCCCCATGTGGGACAAAAGAGAACATGGCTGGAAGTGAGAGAGATGTTAAGGGAAGGTCAGAGGAAAAGAGACAAGCAGTCAGTCAGTCAGTCATGAAAGCAGCAGAAAGCACAGTTTGGGGAGGTGAAAGATCTCAGCAGAGAAGGAGTCCTGAGAGGAGAAAAGGACTCGTCTCAGATTTCCATTGTTGGCCATGCCACCTTTCTCCTCTCCCATCACTCGGCCCTTTCTACAGAAGCTGGAGGGGGTCTGAGAAGGCTAAGGTTACCTGGCCGCCGTCCCCTGCTGCCTCTGCCGACTTTCATTCCTGTTTAGGCTAACAACCAAGACCATTAAAGCGGCGGCGTAGATTTTACAGGATAAACTTTCAGCACTGAATGCAGCGAATGCACTCCACACTCTGTCTCATTACATATCTATACCCCACGGCAGGGCTCCGCTATTTAATCACGCACCTCTATGGTCCTATTTTAGGGAAATAATTGTCATCTTTTGTTAATGCGTCTTATTATAATGACTGTGTGGGCCAGACACAGTTATTCATTAGCAGAAGAAGAAGCTAAATAAAAATGTGTGAGGAGCGGACTGCTACAGACAACAGCCTCAGGCGGCCCGTCAGCGTTGGCCACAGCGATCTGTCATAAATACTAGAGGAACGGTTGCCGGGCAAGTTTGGTCCGCCAAAGAGTGGGAGTGGGTCGGAGCAAAGACAGGGAATACTGGCACTGATGGCAATTCAGTTCAGTTCAATTTAATTCAGTTCAGTTCAATTGAGTTCAGTTCAGTTCAGTTCAGATCAATTTGTTTCAGTTCACTTCAGATCAATTCCGTTCAATTCAGTTCAGTTCAATACAGAACTTCAGATCAACTAAATTCAGGTCAATTCAGTTGCAATTTAGTTCAGTCCAGTACAACTCAGTTCAGTCAGTTCAGTTTAATTCATTTCAGTTCAGATCAACTCAGTTCAATTCAATACTGAACTTCAGATCAGTTCAGATCCAGTCAATTCAGTTTGGTTCAGTTAGAGGACAATGAAATATTGACGTAACTGTATCTTCATAGAGTTGCTGTTCATGCTTCAGCTTTCAGCACCAGCTGATCTAAATAAAGTCGCCCAGAGAGTTTTGTCCTGCAGGTAAGACATTACCTGCTTCCACCTCCTGAAGAATCCCTCTCAGCCGAAGCTTCAGACGTCAGACATGAACTTGGAGCAGCAGGAACTTAAAGTGAATTGCGTTTTGTATTTAGGCCTCTTGCTAAAACAAAGTCTGCCATTTTGGAAGGCGAAGCTGCATTGACAGATGGTCCGTTAAGCCATTTCTGAGCAGCAGTTGGTTTCAGCCAAGCAGGCTGGTATTATATTTCACAGAACAGAAAAGTACATGCACACAAATATTTGCGAGGAATCAACTGTTTTTTTTGTTTTGTTTTTTTTAAGCTCCAACGTGTCTGGGGACATTTTTTTTTCTTCTTTTTTTTCTGTTCCTGTCCAGTTTCTTTTTCAGCTCCGTTCAAACATGAAGCGTCTTCTTCTCTTTTCTTTGTTTCCTGTCGGCTTGGCAGACGAAGACCCATGGGCCCAGCTTCACTCGGATCCACGCGCCGTGGCCCGTGTTGTGTAGAGAGGCCGAGTTTCTCAAGATTAAAGTTCCCACCAAGCAGGTGAGATTCAGGTACACCTCTGACGCAGACCGGATTCTAAAAAACACCAAACTGACGAAATTAACTTCCAGGCTTCATATGAAGTGCTGTACAGTCATGATTTTCACATTTCAGGCACAGACTTTCACATATTTGAACTGGAATTTATGCGACCGACACATAAAGAAGTGCATAATTGAAAAATGATACATGATTAAGTTCAGTTGAAATCTTTTATTGATGTACCACATTTAAAATAAATGCAATGATGTAAAGTTAAAAAAGTTTAAGTTAGTAGAATCTATTAGCATCAACAAGAGCATCCAGGAACACAGCAGGGATCTAACTAAGACAGACAAGTCCTGATTTATGTTGGGATATATAATGTAGAAACTACCAAAAGTGAACAAATGCTGCACATCACCCTTAACCCACCGTCTCTATAGTGAAACATGGTGGTGGCAGCATTATTCTGAGATGGTCCCTTTCTGCAGTACATTAATAAATAACGTGTCGTATTGGGAACAAACGTTTTAGAGGTTGTGAAAACTTGAGAGCTTCACCATGAGGCAACAGCTGCAGTAAACGTTCTAATTTGAATAATGAGCTAAACTTAAAGCTCTGATTGATGACTAGGATCATGTATATGATCAGATTTAAATAATTTTTTCTAAAGTTCTTCTAGTCGACCTTAGTTGTGAAATGGAGCCTTATAAATAAACTGAATTGAAAAAACATTAATTAAATGTGCTGATTTGTGTTAGTTTGTCACATAGAATGCCATTAAAATACATCCAAGATTTCGATTGTAATTTGCGTGTAAATACTTTTGCTAAGTGCTGTCGATGTAGGCGACGTGTTGTTAAAAGCATTCTTATGCTTAAAGAAAACTGAGCTGCAGTTATGTTTTATGGGAGAAAATGTGAGAACAATTTTAGAATCTGATTGATAAAAAAACCCCCAAAGAAACTAGAAAGAAGCTGTCTGATAAAGAGACGATTCTTCTCAAAGTCTAAAGTACTTCTAGTGTCCAGCGCTGAGTGACCAGCGTGTCTGTTGTCTTGGTTTTTCTCAGAGTTACGAACTCAGAGAAGAAAGTGGTTTTGGGTCCAGTATGAGCTCAGTGTGGAGGAAACTGAAGCAGCCCTTTGAGCCCAAAGTGCCACACCAGGACCACGGCAGCACCAAGTTCCTGTCCCACTGCTTCTCCAGGGACAAACTGCACATGTAAGACTCTGTCCAACCGTCCATCCGTCCATCCATCTGCTATGTTTTGCTTGCCTTATAACCATTTACTGAACTATATTTACTTGAGTAACTTTCAGGAGTATTTTTACTACGTTGTACTTCTTACTTTTTTACTCTTGTCATTTCATTATGAAGTATTTCTACTCTTACTTGAGCAGCATGTCTGGATTCTCTACTCTCTGAATGAATCACAAACATGTTTTAACCAAAAATTCACCAGGTACAGACACACACAGGCAGCTTTTACTAAAGTTTTATATGTTTTTTGTTTTATGGAAAGAAACTGGTTTTCTTTTGCTCGATTCTGTTATTCTTTGTTACTTATATGAATTATTGTCATTTTGGTCCTTAAAATACCAAAATTTCCACTTAACTTTATATTTTGATCTGTTTGATGATGTAATTTTAAAATATTAAATGATTTATAATTTGATCAGTTACTCAGTACTTGAGTAGACTTTTTACCAAATACTCTTTTGCTGTTGAACATGTTGAAGTAGTGTTACTTTTACTTGGGTGTAATTTTTCGCTACTCTACCTGCCTCTGCTTATAACCAAACATCACCACGTTGGATTCATCTCTTCGTCTCCTTAGCAACACCTGGTTGCTACTTTCTCCCCTCAATCTAAACATCTACTCTGACCGATTCTGATAGTTGTATCTAGTGACTGCTGTGAGGAAGCTTGAGCAGCCAGAGGTCAAAGGTTGAGGTTACTGAGTGAACCGCTGAACAAGCAACCTGAGCATTAACCTGGACACTTGTTCAAATGAAGTATTCAGGACGAGCTTTGTTTCAGGTTGTCCTTTTGGTAAATCAACTCCTCTCTGCGTTTCCTCCGTTTTTGCACAGGCTTGAATTTTGCTGTGGACGTATTTTTTATCTGATTGGATATTTGGCTGCTGCTCTTGACAAAAATAGGTAGAGGTCAGTTCATTTCTCTGGTTTCAAGGAGAGCTTTTATGAGTTTTTAAGCATTGTCCACGTTTTCAATGAGGTCGAGGGGAGGCATTTGGGAGAATGTTAGCTTTCATTATGTATTCCTAAAACCAACTTTCTTACATGTTTCAGAATAATTTTGGAGCATCAAGGTAGGTCCAAATTGAAGTTATTTGGTCTCAGATAGAAACAAGTTAATTAGGACACTTTTACCCTAACCCTATCGCCTCTATAAGGATGCTACAATGTCACTGGCTCTGTTTCAATCCAATGAGAATTCTTTAATAAACAGGAAGTAGAAGTTGCTAACTTAGAAATGGAGTGCTCCTGTCCATCCTGGAGGTTCGGGCTGGGCAGGTTAGCTAGGTCATAACTCATTCGGAAAATTTGTCTCCATCTCCCCTGTGGCGTAATAACTCTTTTTCAGAAAAGCTGAAAACCACGTAAACCTTTTTGCGTTTGTCTTTTTTTAATGCACTTTTTGAAGTACATGTTAAAGAAGGCTAAAGGAAACGGCAAACTTCAAAATAACTTACTCAAGTTCGCAAAATCATTTTTTACACGAACACTTGGGGTTTTTCTGAAATGAGTTAAAGTGCTGAAGGGGAGATGGCAACAAGTTCTGATGTAGCAAATGACTGATCCATGCTAGTTAGCACCCTGCACTTCCGTGCGTTGCATCAATGTCTGACGAAATGACGGTTAGCATAGCCTGATTGGTACGTTCCAAACCAGTAGGTGGAACATCGCCACATTTTCAAAGTTTGCAATTGAATCTTCGTTTCTTGACTGGACGAAGAAACGAAGACAAACGATTACTTCCTGTTTCCTAAACTCCATTTGGACACAAAGCTCCAACAGGACAGGGATCTTAAAGATACATCAACACCAGATGTGGAATCTAAATCAGGTTTTTACTTTAAGCTTCACAGCTTCAACTCTTTTCCAGATTTGTGAATAGAGAATTATTTAAATAAATCACTTCTGATCTCTGCTACACTTCAGACTTGTCAGGTTCTGGTAATGGTGTTTAATGGATCCATAAGTCTTTCAAACACAGCTAGCTTTGCTCTTGACTGACTAAATACTGTTTCAGACAGAAGTAATGGCACCTTATCTTTTTTCTTTCTTTTTGACTTCTCCTAATTTGGTCTTGTCAAAATGGGATTAAAAGGCTCAGAGAAGTGCTATGAATGTTTTTAAATAACCGTTGAACCATTTGTTTGACAGCTTTTTTTAAATTTTTAATTTTTTTTTATTGTTCCTTAGTTGTGAAATGAAAATGGTTCCCCTCAGATTGGCACAGTACATTCACTCCTCCTACATGAACTCTCATCACTTGATTTGTATGATTTTAAATACAAAGAAGCGCATCCATAACAACCTGCTGGCTGTGTTTACTTCAGGTACAACATCACGTCTAAGGACACGTTCTTTGACAACGCCACAAGAGGCAGAATAGTAAGTGTGTCTTTATTGAGTTCAGCATTTGTTATAATCGCTCATTTTTTTTTACCTGTGATGGAGTATAAAGAGTGATGTAAAGGGAAAATAAATATGTGGAGAACAGAGGAGAAAATGTTCAACAAAACATTTTGAAATTTCTAGATGAATTGCACATATTTGGAAGAAAAAAAAAACACATACCCAAATTTTGAAAAGTTGCGCATTTGCATGAAAAAGAGACAATTTTCCACGATTAAAGGCATCAATTTGTGATATTAGGACTAAAATGTTCTGTGACGTTGTAAAATAAAAAAAATACATGAAAATTTTTTATGGAAATTCTTGTAAATTTGTTTATTCTTAAGGTTCTTTTTTTTCTATTCATTATTTTAAAATATTTAAAATGTAGGTCTAACATTGAACATTTATGCCTTCAATCATGGGAAATTGTGAACTTTTATGTTGGAAAATATTCATGTTTTTTCCCTGAAATACATGAAATCAGTCTAAAAATTTTAGAGACTTTGGCAGAAATCTACTCCTCTGTTCTGTATTTTCGTTTAACCGCAATGACTCTGACTGTTTATTTCCAAACTGATGGTCTTGAATCTTTTCCAGGTCTATGAGATCCTGAGGCGGACGGTGTGTGTACGAACATGTCAAACCATAGGTGAGGAAGCTGCCACAAAAATTTGTGGCAGAATTTTTGTAAAATTATGCCACAAAGCAGAATTAAAAAAAAAAAAAAACTTTGTGAAGAAAGATAAAGTCTTAGGTCTTAGGTACCCAAAAGTTGATATTTGAGTAAAACCAAATGAACCCAAAGCAGACAAACTGTCTTGTGATGTCGTTGCATCACAAACTGGGTGTTTAATGTGACAGACCAACGCAACCAGCTCCCCTGCTACTGCATCCCCACATCATGATGCTGCCACCACAATTTTTTCTAAGCAGCTGCACTACAAAATATACAATATTTAGATTCTGATTTTTATTTTACTTTTCACCTCCATCCATCCAGACTTAGTGTATTCAATCTGAAACCAAAATATTCCCTCAGCATGATGCTGCCTCCACCATTTTCACGAAGTCAACTTTCTAATTTTCCCTTGACCTAAAATGCATCTCCTACTTTGTGTTGGTCTGTCGCTTAATACCCTCATGAAGTACCTCAATATATATCCCATTTAGATGCATTTAGAGCTAGGCTAGGCTAATTTAGCTTAGCTTAGCTGGGAATTTTTCTCCCTGAATATTTTCATTGAGACAGTTGCTCACCTCAGTTCTGTTTGACTCTCCACAGAAACACAGCAGCTCACCAGACATTCCACCAATATCAGGACTGAGATAATTATAAATATAATGTTACCTCAGCATTAATGTTTGTTGTTGCTAGCAAGGCAGGAAAAAGCACCGGCTCTCCCCAAAACAGCCGTGCTAGGAAGCGGGTTAGCTGCATGTGTAACATGTACTGTACTTGGCGTTGATGTAGTTTGTGCGAGCCGTGGTTCCTCTGTGGAGATGAGCTGACACCCTTTTCATGTCCAGTGTCCCCCATATGTCTGGTTGGCTGGCCCATGGCAGCAGACGGCCTCAGCCAGCGGGTTCTCACAGGGCTGCAGGGGAGGAACGGTAGAGAAAACAGAGCTTCATCTCTCTCTCTCTGACCTTGCTTTTCCTCTATTCCCTTCATTCCTCAGTGGAGCAACACACACACACCCTGTTGCTCTGCACCATCTCCTCCACAAGTGGGTCACACTTCCTAGGTCAGCTAAAGATTGGAAGCAGGGGCCTCTGGGAGATGTGGTTGTTTCTGTCTGGTTGAGTGTGTTCAAGCGTGAGGATGGGTGTTTCCTGGGTGTGGTGTTTGTTAACCACACAGGTGTTCTCTGCTTTTTAACAAATCCCTTCCACGGACTAATAATGCTCACACTGTCTTTGGACTGCATTGATTTTACTTTGAATTTAGCCTGAGGTATAATGGAATATTAAGATCATATTCTTGTAACAGAACATCTTAGTCAACACCCAGATCTAAACCTTATAAATATGCAGTAAAAAGTGAAAGTATATGTTCTCTTCATATGCCCTTCTGACTCGATCATTTTTTCATGCATCAACTCACAAAAACAAATAAAATACAACAAGTTTTCTTTGTAAGTTCTTCAGAGATTG